TTGGCTGACTTCTTCCTGATTGATGACCTGCAGTAAGAGACAAAGCTATAAAAGGAAAAGCTTTTGGCTTTCCCTTATTCAAGGCTGGAAATGTGGCCCCATGAACTGGTATCTTCTCTGTTGGGAAGGAGGAGAGCTCTTCTCAGAACCTTAATTTTAGGAGTGTGCTTGGGTCAACCATCTCTTCATTTACCACTGGGCTTCACTCCTCCAGGTTATACCTTCTCTCCTCCCCCCTTCTGTGTGTGGTTTTCTTTGTCTTCTCCCATGGATGCATCCCCCATGGATGCCTTTGAGGACAGAAACTGCCTTTTTACTTTCTTTGTATCCCCAGTTTAGCAAAGTGCCTGGCACATAGCAGATGCTCAATAAATGTTTATTTTGGCTGAATAAATTTTATAAAATAAATTTTATAAAACAAAATTTCAGTTTATATGACTGAATGAACATGAGCTTTTGTTCTTTGCCTACCTTTTCATTTCTTTGTTTCTTTTAGGAAAATGAAGTTGGAGCTTGGAAACTTGTGAGTTTTGAAAGGTCAGGAGAGCAAGCCATCTGGGAGTAGGGGAGTTTAGGAATCAAATCCTTGCAAAGGTTTTGCAACTAACCCAGCATTAAGGCCTTGAGGTAATAGTTGAGATGAAGACTTACATTGTAGCCAAATTTGGACCTGGTAGGACCAATGCTAGGTAGACATTGTGCTAAACCCACTTTCCCCAGAGATTAAGATGACATGGTAGAAAGTGCAGTATAGGCAGTATTGAGTATCAAGAGTGTGGCCCTATATGTTGAGGGACATTTCTGTACCTATGTTCTTGGTGTTTCTTTGAAATAAATGCTTCTTTGTAAAAGCTAAAAAATATGCAGTTCTCTTAATGATGGAAGTTTTTCATGCCTGAATTGTTAACAATTTTTTTCTTATTTTTTCTTATTTTACTTTATCATTTGAAGCTTTTTATGAGCAACATTTTCCTTCTACTTCTACAGAACCATCTGTTAAACTGCCACCCCAATTTCTATTAATAATTTAGTTTCATCTAAAAGTATAGACCTTTAATTGGGTGTATTAATCAACCTAGGTTTTACCAGTTGTTTCTAGAGTTTTGTTTGGACCATTGCCATGGACCTTTCTGCTTCTTCCTGTTCAAAATAGAACTGTTCCATGTTTTATAGGGCCTATGTAGCTTTTATCCCTCTTTGAGAAGTCCAAAAAACAATGAGATGCCTTGCTCCTTACAAGAAGCTTTTTCTTTAGTTTCGCTTATTTAATATGTTTCAAGCAGACTTACTTTGTTTCTCTGATAAATGCCTGATATCATATTATATATGTGATATGTGGAACTAATTCAAATATATAAAAAGCTATTCGTTCCTCAATGGATTAATGTACAAATGATATATACAGGCAGTTCTCAAAGGAAGGAATCTAGGCAATCCACAGGAAAAACTGATCCAAAACACTAACAATTAGAGAAATGAAAATTAAAACCGCTCTAAGGTTTCACTTTAAAACCCATCATATTGGCAAAGATGACAAAAAAAGGAAAATATCAATTGTTGGAGTGGCTGCAGGAATACTAATACACTTTATACACTAATACACACTAACATACTTTAAGTGGAACTATGAATTGGTTAAGCCATTCTGGAGAGCAATCTGGAATTATGCCCCAATAGTCACTAAACTGTGCATGTCTTTTAACCCAGTTATACTAATATTAGGCCTATACACCAAGAGATCAAAGAAAGAAAAGGAACTATATGTACAAAAAATATTTAGAGGCAGCTCTTTTTGTCTTAGCAAAAAACTGGAGACAGTAGAGGTGCCTATCAATTTGTGGATGACTAAATAGTTATATGAATTTGTTGTTGTTCATTTTTTTTTCAGTTGTGTCGACTCTTCCTGACCCCATTTGGGTTTTTTTTTTTTGGCAAAGATACTGGAGTGCTTTGCCATTTCCTTGTCCAATTCATTTTAGAGATGAGGATAACGAGGCAAATAAGGTTATGTGACTTGCCCATGGTTACACAGTTAGTAAATGTCTGAGGCTGGATTTGAATTCAGGACTTTCTGACTCCAGTCCTGGCACTCTATCTACTGCAACACTTAGCTGCCCATTAAATATGAATTTAATGGAATATTATTGAACTATAAGAAAAAACAAAAGGAATGGCTTCAGAGAAACCTGAGGAGATCCTACGAACTGAAGCATAGTGAGCTGAGCAGGACCAGAATATTTGATATAGTAACAACATTGTTAACAAAAACAACTTTGAAAATTTTAAAAACTCTGATGAGAAAGCATAATACTTTACCTCCCAACAAAGGAATTAAACGTCAGAATTATACATACATTTGTGCATATGGCAAATATGTAGATTTGTTTTGCCTGCTTATGCTTATTTGTTACAAGGATTTTGTGTTTTAATTAAAAAAATTTTTTTTTGAATTGAGAACCCTACTGAAAGGTTGCCAATCAAATGAAGGAAAGAAAGAAGGGTCATTGACTTAGAAATATAGACTCTCTTAATTCTACTACTTTCCCTCTTTAATTATTTCCTATTTATCCTGTACATAGCTTGCTTGCTTGTACATATTTATTTGCTTATTGCCTCCTCCATTAGATTGTGAACTCTCTGAGAGCAGGTAGGGATTGTCTTTTGCCTCTTTTTGTATACTCAGCTGTTAGTCCAGAGCATGGCACAGAGTAGGTACTTAATAACAGCTTTGAAAGGAACAAATTGAATTTCCTGTATACTTAAAAAAAAGCAATCTGTACATAAAAGAGATGTGCATTTTAATACATCTCTTTTTCTGTTTCACCTTAAATATTCTCTTTTTTTGGTGATTGTTAAATTCAGAATAAAAAGGTTTTTTTAAAAAATCATTGGAATTTAAATGACAAGGGAAAGTTAACTGAGGACTATATCCTTCAGTTGTTTCCCCATTATATTTTATTTTATTTATTTTTTTGGTAAGCAACGGAGTTAAGTGACTTACCCAGGCTCACACAGTTAGTAAGTGTTATGTGTCTGAATCTGCATTTGAACTCAGGTCCTCCTGAATCCAGGGCCAGTGCTCTATCCACCGTGCCACTATATTTTAAAGGAACATTTGGGTCTTTCCACTATTCCTTCCTCTTCCCCCCCCCCAGGCCTATTTAAACAAGTAATATTCATCACTTATTTTTACTTGAAAATTAGAAAGCCAATCCTTTTTTCACAGAGATGGAGGGAGGTTTGCAAAGTGTCCCAGTTTAACAAATGTTATTGCTAGGTGGCTCTAAGCTCTAAAGACCCTTTCAGTACTAATGTTCTAAGATTCTAATGTTACTTAGAGGCAACCACAGGAGAGGGCAGTTTGAAGTTCTAGGACTAGGGCTCCTATTACAGGTATAAAACTTTGTGTGACCCGTGGCAAATCATTTAACCAGAGGCTTAGTTTTCTCATCTGTAAAATAAAGTGTCTGTGTTCCAGTATCCTTAATTTACCTTCCCTTTATATCTGTTACCCTAGGGAAGATTTGTTTTTTTAAAGTAATTCAGGCTATTGGCTCCAAGCAGAGGTGGATAACTTTCTGTGCTCTCCTCCCCAGCATCAATGAGTAAATATTACTGGTTGGTTGTCCTATGACCAAACTGACATTGCTAGGTTAGAGTCAAGTTTCAGTGTGTCTGGTTGTGGCTGATCAGACCAAAATGAGCTCAGAATGTTCTACCACAGGTCCGGCACAAATAGTCCATATGAACATTGGGGCAGATTCTCTAAATTTGTGCAGCTTGTGTTTCTCTTGAGCAATTTCAATTCTGCTTTGCTCACAGAGCACAGCATCTTCCCTAATGTGGGCAAGCCATGCTAAGTGGGCCTGTGCCAGGGTCTCCTATGTCATACAATCAATTTAAAAGTTCTTAAGAGGGACCTTGAGAATGTCCTTGTATGGCTTCTTCTGACCAACATGTGAATGCTTGCCCCGTGTGAGTTCTCCACAAAATAGTCTTCTTTGGCAAGCATATGTTTTGCATTAGAATCCAAGACTAGCTCACCTCCTTTTCAAGGTAACAGATTTCCTTGTTAACTAATCCATTTTGTGATTTAGAACCAAGTTCAGCGTCACCAGCAATGGATCACTTCCTTGTACTCAATAAACTCCAATGGTTCCTGTTGGCTCCAGGATTAAGTACAAAAATGCTCTTTGGCCTTTCATAACTGGCCCCCTCTCTCAGCTTCTGGCATTTTCTCCAGCTGTCCTCCCCTAATTGGAATGCCTCCCTCCTCAGCTCTGACTACTCCCTGGCTTCCTTTAAGGCCCAACTGGAATTCCACCTTTTACTGGAAACCTTCCTTCCCCAACCCCTCTGAATTCTAGTGCCTTCCCCCTGTTACTATTTATTCTGGTTTGATTTGTTTGCATTTTCTCCACCCCCATAGATTGTAGGCTTCCCCAGGGCAGTGACTATCTTTTGACTCTTTTTATTTCCAGCTCTTACCATAGTAAGAGTCCTTAAGAAATGTTTCTTGATTCATCACTGGTGCCAAGCATGTGAGAACTGACCAAGGCTTGGATAGTATCGGGAAGGGGATCAAGGAGCACCCACAATCATACAGCTAACATTGTTTAGAATGCAATTTTAAGTCCTGCAAAGCGCTTTACACAGATGGTCCCGTTTGAGCATAAACAAGAAAGCTGGCCTTTCATGTTACTATCCCGTCAATGAAGGACGAGGTTGATATCTCGGGGCGAGAAGCCTCTCACCTCGGCAAAGCCCGGCTCACAGGAGGAAGCCTGAGGGAGGTGATGGCTATGCCTCAGTGACCAGTAGGAAAGGCGAGGGAACCAGATAGAGAAGACAACAGCTACCAAACACCCCAGCGACCCCCGGCGACTGAGAAAAGGTAGGGCGCCCTCGAGCCCAAGGGGCAGGACACACGCGTGTCCTCGCGGCCGATGAAGGAAGTCTCGCGAGATCTTTAGCAACCAATCAGGAGCCAAGGAACGGAAGGCGGGGCCGGACGAGGAGGGGGGGTCGCGGGGTTCAGAGCAGAAGGAAGAAACTCGTTCGTGTTGTTCTGTCTCCCCTTACCTTCGCTTCGGACGGTGTGCCCCGGCTGCACTCGCCATGGCCTATCCTGGATACGGAGGTGGGGTAAGTAGCCAAGAGCATCGCCCCGCGGCCGTGGACCTCCGCCCCCCTCGGGGTGTGGCCGTTCCCAGCGGGCGGTGCCAGCGCGGCTAGGCCCCGCCTCCTGCACCTGCGGGCTGCAGAGCTCCCTGCGGGCGGGGCTGTGGAGGAGCCGGGCTGAGCGCGTGCTTCTTCACTTGGTCTCCTCTCTGGAGCCCGTGCCTCCTCTCCCTCCCTTCATCCGGGCCCCGCCCCCCCGCTTTGGGCGGGGGGGGCGGCCCTGGGGAGGAGGGGGGATTTGTGTGTCCCCCCCGAGTGTGGTGCACTCTCGGAGGAGAAAAGGAGAGGCGGTAATTGGGTCGGTTCGTGCTTCACCTGAGCTGGTGATTTGTGAAATTCAGTTTCCTAAGATGGAGACTTCCTCTTCAGTCTGTACAAAGGCTGAGGAAGAAGAAAACACTGCTCAGGTTCCCGTAAATCTTTCACAAGACCCGCCCTACTCTTTTTTTTTTTGAAAGACCTTCCCTTATCCCCAGTCAGACTACTTCCTCTTCTCACTGTTCAGTACTTTTGCATAGCCGTGATCCAAATGAGTAAATAACCGACTAGTTGCCTCTATGTTTGTATGTGTACACACACACACACACACACACACACACACACACGTACGATGCATGTTGACAATCCTTAATGGAAGTATTGTCTCCCTAACAAAGTTTTTTGGCAAAATAATTTGTCCAGTGTGCTTGCCACGTAGCGATTTTGAGTTCGTTGTTGTGGAACTTGTGTCCTGATAAGTTTTTTGTTTTGTTTTGTTTTTTAATATAGAAAAGTCGCTAAAATTTGAGGAAGCTTCAGTACTTAACCTGTAGCTTTCTAGGGGTTCGATTCTTCACCGCATTCTTAGGTTAATGCCAGCAACTAGAATCCCATAAAGAAAGGGAAGGCAGTGTCTCTCACCACTCTCTTGCAGGAATAAAATACTTATTTTCATCATTATCAGGCACCATCGTCTTTGAATTGTGGGAAAAGGGCTTCCGTTTTAAATTTTTTGTTTCGAAATTGTTATCATTGTCTAGGGTGTTAGATAATAACTTCTTCGAATGAATTGTACCAAGATCCTTGCCGTCTTCTTCAAAACTCTCTATTTAACTGTCTGGAAGACTTTGCTTTTCAAGCAAATGATACTTCATTCGAGCTATTTAGTTTTTCTTGGACTTCTGTTCAATATAGTCTTCTCTGCTTTTTCCAGCTCCATACTCCCAAAGCTAAATTACTAAGTTGTTCACTGTTCCAGTGAACCCTCTCCTCTTTCATCAGTTAGTTTCTTAAGTCCCTACTTGCTTCAGGAAGCTTTCCTTGAATTTCCTAGAAATTTCTTCTTATAGGCATGATGAAAGAGTATTTCCCTACCATTTGGTCTGTCATAGATATTCTGTCTAGAGCTTCACTCACCATTTCACTAAATAAGCTTGCAATACTATATATTTTAATTGCTTTTGTCCCATATATATTTTAATATATCTAAAATGTGTTTGAATTATTTTCTCTTTTGACTGTTTCTCAAGGGAAAGGTACTCATTTTTCTGTAGCACTGTAAGCACCAATGCCAATGGTTGCTTAATGCATACTTTCTGAAAGTAATTTATCAGAAGGTTGTGTGTTGTGTGAATATTTTAGTCTAATATTAAGGCTGAAGCAGCTCATTAAATGAAAGTATTATAGAACTAAGCAGAGTCTGATAATTGTAGATGTTTAAAAGGATTTTTCAAAGCAGAAGTGACTTATCAGTATGGATGTAAGTACAACCATATTTTTAATTTCATGAAATGAAACTTTTTAATGAGTTTTTTTGAAATGTATACAGTTTTCTTGCTATTGTATCTGTTTAAATCTTGAGATATCTTGTTTAAGGAGAAAGGGCAACCACATTTTGACTTAATTAAAAAAAAAGATCCATCTGTTCATAAATAGTCTTAAAAATGCCCTAAAGCAATCACAACCAATCATAGCCATGTTAAGTCTTTTAACATGGTAGCTCTAAAAACTGCTTTAAATGGACAGGAAATTCTTGTAGTTGTTAGGGAATGAACCCCCTATCATCAGTTCTGGAAAGTGATACATAGTCATTAAATAGTTAGAATTGTAGTTTTATTTTATTTTTAATAGTATTTCATTTTCCCCCCAGTTATATGTAAAGAAAATTTTTAGCTTTCATTTTTACAATATTTTGAGCTCCAAATTTTTCTCCCTCCCTCTACCCTTCCTTCCTAAAATGGTAAGCAATTTGATGTAGGTTATATATGTTGTCAGCCTCAGTATTTTGTTTAAGAAAGACAAAACATGATTAGGTTTTGTTTCCCTTAAAGCTGGTGGCATGCATGCATGGGAGCCAGTGTGGAACTGAATTGTCTTTGGAGTTGAGGTACACAGTTTTTAAATCCTTCCAACAGGAACTGATATCATTTCATCATCATTTCATCTATGGACAAAGAAATACCTCTTCTATCAGACTACCCCCAGGATTTGGGCTATCTAGACAAAAGAATTTGTCTCCACCCAAGCCTGAGCAGAACACAGTGGGGCTTCTGTACCTTAGATTAAATTATTTGTGAGCTTGGCTTGGGATTTGACCAGGATAAGGAGAGTCAATATAATCTCATTATCAGTAATGTCCACTGCACTTTGGAAGAAGGGGGCTGGGGGAAACTCTGAATTTCCAAGATAATGATTAAAATAATTTTTCACAATATGTAATTATGTAAAGCATATTTCCATATTAGTCACAGTTGTGAAAGAAGGAACAGATCAAAAGGGAACAAAAAGGAAAAAAAGCGGGCTTCAATCTGCTTTCAGAGGCCATCAGTTCATTATTTGGATGTGGATAGCATTTTCCATCATGAGTCCTTTGTAATTGTCTTGGATCATTGTGTTGCTGAGAAGAACTAAGTCATTCATAGTTGCTTGTCTCACAATGTTACTGATACTATGTACAATGTTTTCCTGGTTCTGCACATTTTACTTTGCATCAGTTTTTATGAGTCTTTCCAGGTTTTTCTGAAATCTGCCTGCTCATCATTTCTTATTGCACAATAGTATTCCATTACATTCATGTACCACAGCTTGTTCAGCCATTGCTCTCAATTTACTATATTTTGCCACCATGAAAAGAACTGCTATAAACATTTTTGCACGTGTAAGGCCCTTCCCCTTTTTTGATCTCTTTGGGATACAGACCTAGTAGTGGTATTGCTGGATCAAAGGGTATGCACAGCTTGGTTGCCCTTTGGGCATAATTCCAAATTGCTCTCCAGAATGGTTGGATCAATTCACAACTCCACCAACAATCCATTAGTGTCCTGGTTTAGAATTGTCATTTTAAAAAGGATTTAATTAACAATTTGTTTTGCTAGATGCTTCACAAAAGTTAAATAGATATACTAGAATTTGGTCTCCTGTCCCCTTTTCTTCTAGCCACAAAACAAAACCTCACAGATTTTTGTTTGTTGAATGATCACCAGTTAGCTGCATGTACACTAACACAAAATTATTTGCATTACATTTGCAAATACTAGTATTTTCTGATTTATGTGATTTATGTGGCAAAAAATTAACACCGAAGCAAGTATGTTTTGAAATAGCTTATGAAGTAATACTAATTTAGTAGGTATGTGGAAGATCATTTTTTCATTAGGTAATTTTAAATATTAGTATGTATGTTAAAAATACAGCACATGGGGATTTTAAAACAAGTAAACCTAGATACAGTGTGGAATAGTGGATAGATGGCTGGCCTCAGGAAGACTGAGGTTCATGTCCTACCTCTGATGTTGGCTGTGTATAACCCTGGTAAAGACTTTAACTCTTCATTTGCCTCAAGCAACTCTTTAAAAATTGAAGTCTGCAACATCTCTCACATTAGTCTCTTTATTTTTCACATAGCTACTATCTTATTTCAGGCCCTCATCACTTTTCATGTCCTAGTTCATTGCATTGGCTTCCCTGTCTCAAGTCTCTTCCCATTCATTTTTACTTTTACACAGCTGCCAGAGGGATTTTCCTTAAGTATAGATCTGAGATCACTTCCTCACTCAGCTTCTGTGGCTTCCTGTTTCCTATAGGCAAATGCCTTTCTTTGACTTTTAAAGTTCTTTTAATACCTGGCTTCAACATGGCTTTCCATTCTCTTATGTTGATCCTCTTCTTATACTCTATAGTCTAGGTAAACTGGACTTTTTAATGATCTTCATACATGAAATTTCCTCTTTCATCTCTGTGTCTTTGCACTGGCTGTCCCCATACCTGGAATGCATTTATTCTTTACCTCTGCTTCATAGAATCTTATTTCCTTCAAGTTTCACTTGAAGCACATTCTTTTATTAATCAGTCATTAAACAAACAATATTGTATACAAGTCACTGCCCTAGATGTTGGGACACGAATACAAAGAATGAAATAATTACTACTCTCATGGAGTTTATATTCTAACAGAAGAGTTGACAAGTACATATATAATATATAGGTGTATATATAGAATAAATATAAAGAGAATAAATACAAGGAAGGCAGTTTAAGTCAGTAGTTAGAGAGGAAGGACACTTGTTGTTTCAGGGGTCAGGAAAGGTTTCATGCAGTAGGTGGTGCTTGAACTGTACTTTGAAGTATAAGGATTTTGTGAGAAGAGGTGAAGAAAGAGGTTTCATTCCAGACATGGGGAATTACTAGTGCAAAGGTGCAAGATGTAGCAAGTGATTGACTATGGGGCATGAGGAAGAGTAAAGAGTTGAGCATAACACTAAAGTTATGAATTGAAGAGACAAGAAAAGTTGTGGTATTGTCTTCAGCAGAAATAGGGAAGTTTGAAAGAAGGAGGGGTTTGAGGAGAAAGATAAGTTCTGTGTTTGAAATGTCTCTAGTACATCCATTTCAACCAATAAATGGTGATGATGAAAGGATGCTCACTTGAGAGACTGGGATCTGTAGATATGAATCATTTGCATAGACATCTTCATAGAGATGATATTTAAACTCATAGGAGCTGATGATGTCACCAAGAGAGCATGAAGAGAAGTGAAGAGACCCCAGAATAGAACTTTGGGAATGTTCCTAGTTAGGGGTGTGATATGTACAATAGACCAGAAGATGATGAGACGTCTGATGGGTAGGAGAACCAAGAAAGAGTAACAAAAACTCAAGGAAGAGAGAGTATTCTAGGGGGAGAGAATAGTTAATAGCATTAAATGCGTGATAAAATATGATAAAAGTATGACACTGAGAAAAAGTTATCAGATTTGGCAATTAAGAGAATTTGGTTAACTTTAGAACAGTTTCATTTGAATGTTGAGCAGATTTGGAGGAGTAGAAGAATAAGTAAGAAGAAATGGGAGCAATGAGTATAGATAGTATTTTCTAGGACTTGAAAGAGATATAGGATTATAATTTATGAGTCTTTTGCTGCAGAATCATCAGTGCAAGATGGAAGTAGTTTGTTAGATTGTTGGATAAAGCAGTGCTAAATTATGTTCTGTTCAACATATGTTGTGTATACCTTTGTTGCGCACTCTAGGGTTTAGAGAAGGAGTCAGGCCTTGTCCAGATAGTTTTAAAGAAATATTTAAGGTAAGTGATTACAGTGCTCAACAAGTATTTCAGTGTAACTGAGACTGGCCTAATTATGTGGAGAGAAAAAAAGTGAGCTAGATTTTAGAATATTACTTCCAAAATGATTAAACATAAGTTGTCAGTGTTTTAGAAGACTAATAAGACAGCTTTGGGTAACTGAATGTTTTTTAGGAATGGTTTTTGGATATTTTTGACCTACAGTGACTAAATATTGCTTTGACAATAACTGTCCTAACAGTTTTGCTAGTTTTTGACAGTGCCTCTGGGCATCCTAAAGATCACTGAAGTTAGTGGAAGTTCTGTTTTTGTCTTCCAAATACATCATCATTATTGCAGTCTGTGGATCAAGATGCTATTACTATCTTAAAACGTTGTTGTCATAAGCACTGTTTTTTTGTCAAACTGGTTTAGCTGAGGAGTTGATGATAGAGATATCAAACAATTTTGGAAAGAATTTAACATTTTTGAGACAGATGTAATCAATGTGAAAACCTGGATTGAAGTCTCCTAAAATTGCATGAATACTGTCAAGGCAAAAGTTGTGACCAGATTGTATTAAGGATTTCAGAGGGTTTTATAATCATAAGTAGAAGTTGTATCCTTAGGGCTTTATGAATTAGAAAACAGAAATTTTAAGGTTATAATTAAAACTCACAATTAGGAACTAACAAATTAAGATTTTTTAAAATTAATTTATTTTGAATTATCAACAATCACTTCCATAAGCTTTTGAGTTTTAAATTTTTCTCCTCCCTCCCCACCTTATTCCTCAAGACGGCACGCAGTCTGATTTAGGCTATATGTATACATTCCTATTAAACATATTTTCACATTAGTGATGTTGTAAGAATTAGAACCAATAGGAGGAGCCACCAGAAAGAGGAAACAAAACACAACAGAAGAAAAAAAAATAGCAAATAGTATGCTTTGATTTGCATTCAAACTCCATAGTTCCTTCTTCTTTGTAGATAGCATTTTCCATCAGGAGGCTTTTGGAGATGTCTTAGATGCTTGTATTGCTGAGAAATATCCAACAAGTGTATCAATATTAGTTATCGCACAATGTGGCTGTTCAAATTAAGATTTAATTAAATTGAATAATCAGAATCATGAAGAGGAAGAAGATAAAACTGAGGAGGAGGTATTGAGTCTGATTATTAACTTGAAAGAACTTTGAGGTACTAACCTGTCTTGAGAAGGCTAATAAAATTTTTGAGAAGTGATCCAGTTGTGGAATAAAGATCTAAAATAAACAGGGGTATTGCTGATAAATAAAAATGCTATAAATAATTTGTATGAGAAGAAGAGGTTGCTGTTCAGGTGTCTGTGATCACTATTTTGCCCTTAAAAGTTAGATGCCAGAACTCTGAAGTGACAAATAGCTTATTTCCAAAAAGGATTAAAGAAGAGAGTTAAATTTATGAAGTTGCTACTTTATCCCCTCATGATTCAGTGCACACTTTTATATAAGCAAAAATTCAAGCTAGTAAAGGTAAGCTATTTAATGTTTTAATACATACTATTTCTCTATAAACTTTAGAATAACACAATAATAAATATTGAATAAGGATAATGCTCCTTGTGCTTAAGATCTTACAAAAGTCCTTCTTTAAAATTTGATGTTACTTTTATTGCTTGTATTTAATATTTATATATTAGTATAATAAAGATTATATAGTCTCAGAGCTCCCAAAAAGACCTATTTTAAAACTTTAATAGTTTTAATTTTTGTCACTGTAGAATTTATCTTTCATTTATAATATTGTTCTTAGGAAATTAATTGACTCGGTAACATTTTTTACCAGACCAGTTAGTTATATTAGGCAAGATGTGCCTGTGTTTCTTTTGTTACCTTACTATATCCTATTTAATGCTGTGTGTGGAGGGAAGTTTTCTCATATAAATTCCAGGATTTGATATATAGAGCTTCTGTAGCTGATGAACTTAGAAGTTAATGGAGAGTATTTTAACTCTTAACTACTACTGGAGATTTCAGCAGTGCAAATAAACTACTGCTCTTTCCCTCTTGACCCTCTCTTTTCCTACATCATTTAACAATTCAGTAGGTAATGCAGCATATTAAATTCTTTTTTTCCTTCTTTTACAAGTATGGAGGTTATAGTGGTCAGATGCCTGGGATGCAGATGCAAATGGGACAGCCAATGCCAGGAACAGTACCAAATATGCCTCATGGTGGATACTCTGGATACTCTGGATATTCTGGTGGTTATTCAGCAAGTGACCCTATGTGGACTTACTTCACTGCTATTGCTGGACAGGTAAAATACCAAATTTTGTATAGTAATATTAGTGTTGGAGAACAGGTATGGTAACATTTGTATTAAAAAACTTACTGTAACTCTTTATCCTAATCTAATGTAAATTAATCTTAATTTTATTAGAAATAGTTTTTTTTAATAGTTTATAGGTGAGGACAACTATATCAGTTTTAGGTTTGTGAAATGTGATGCGTAAGTTTATTTGACTAAACTGAATAAAAATATTTTTTCCATTTAAATGTATAATTTAAAGTAAAAAAAACTGACAATACAGATTATTTCTAGTTGATGAAAAATCTGTTTCTCTAGTTAGTATTTTTCTTCCCCTCAATTTAATTTTATTATTTTTTCTCATTAATAAGCATTTATTTTCTCTTCTTATTATTATCATATCCCCAACTGAAGAATACAAAAAAGAAAAAGAAAATCCTCATAACAAATCTATATAGTCATACAAAACAAATTCCCATATTGGCCATGTCCAAAAAGATATGTTTCATTCTGCATTTTAAGTCCATCATCATTTCTTTGGCAAGAGGTGACTAGCATGTTTCATTTTTGGTCCTCTGCAATCCTGGTTTGTTAATGCATTGATCAGAGTTCTGCAGTCTATCAAAGTTGTTTTTCTTTATAATGTTGTTGCTACTGTAGAAATTAATTCAGTTGTTGCTCGCTTCACTGTTGGAGCATTTCATTATGATCATCCTGATTTCCTCTGAAACTACCGATTTCATCATTTCTTATGAGGCAGTAATATTCCATTACATTTCATATACCATAACTTGTTTAGCCATTTCCTAACAGTTGGGCATCCCCTTAGTTTTCTTTTTTTTTCTTTTTTTTTTTGCTACTTCAGAAAACTGCTATAAATATTTTTATACTTATGGATTCTTTTCCTCTTTCTTTGAGGCATATGACTAATAGTGGGATTACTGGGCATTAGTGACTTTTTGGGCATGATTTCAAATTGCTTTCCAGGATAGCTGAATCAATTTACACCTTCTTCAGTAGTGCATTAATGTGCATTAACAGTCCCTCCAGCAATTGTCATTTTCCTATTTTGTCATCATTCCCAATTTGATGGATATGGTTATTACATTAATAATTTTGCAGAATTGTTTTAATTTGCATTACTTTTATTATGAGTGATTTGGAGCATTTTTTAATGTTGTTATTGATAGCTTGATTTCTTTCGTTGACAAGTTCATATCTTTTGACAATCAGTTGATTGGGGAATGGCTCTTATTCTTATTAATTTGAATCAGTTACGTACATATCTTGGATAGGAGACATTTATCAGTGAAACTTGGTGCAGAAATTTTTTCCTCTCAATCACATATTTCTTTTAAAATTTTAACTATAGACAGTGCAGAATTATAAGGAGGAAAAAATTCATCTCTCATTTTTTTTTTACCTTTTACCTTTGCATTCCAGGAAATCTTTGCCACAGACTCTTGTAGATTTGTTGTTCATAGCTTTAAGTGATAGGCAGTATTGGCTTGGTGAACAGAGGGCAAGCTTTATAATTAAGATGGCCTAAATTCAAGTCTACTATGCTGTTTGTGTGATTCTGGGCAAGTCATTTAACCTTTCAATGCCTCTGGGAACTCTTTAAGACTATTAAGTTGCAGAACAAGGAGATTTTCCTTCCTTTGAATTCCCTACACCAATAAAATCACAAGTCGGTACCTCCCCACCCCCCAAATATTATAAATACTTATATTGTCTCCTTACTTTTTTCTTTTAAAACTTTTTTTGTGCTGCTTTCCTTTTCTATAATTTGAAAGTTAGGGAAATCTTTATACTGGTGAGTGCTTTGGAGTTTTGAACTAAAACACATTTAACCCATCTACTTTTCTTATGTGGGGAGAAAGTTGGTACAAGCAAGAGACTTTTAGGAAAGGGAGGTGGGCTTTTGAATTCAGTAATTATTATTTTAAAATCTTATATTTAAATACATAAATTGTGAGTAAATACTAAATTACATCACAATGTAATCAGACTTTTTTATGGGATGTTATGAGTGTTTTTCTTAAAATACTTTATAAATTTTTCTTATGCAGTAAATTGGTAATTTAAGCTTTGCTTATGGGAGTTATTACTCTAGGTGAATTTTAGCATGTTATTAGAAAAAGTAACCTGCAATAAGGGTTTAGAGTTGCATTTTTTTTGTTACAACTTGAGCTTTTTGATACAGATCACAGATAAGGACTATTGTCCTAGTTATATTAGGTTTCACCAGTCAAGTCCAAATGCTTACAGTCTCTATTTACTTTGATATAGGGATTTAAGGAGCCCAGTTTATCGGTGGATAGAGCACAGGGCTGGGAATCGGGAAGACTCATCTTCCTGAATTCAAATTTGGCCTCCGACACTTACTAGCTGTACACAAGACCCTGGGCAAGTCATTTAACCCTATTTGCTTCAGTTCCTTATCTGTAAAATGAACTAGAGAAGGAAAATGACTCAGCAACAACAAATAAAGGAATAGGGCTTAATGGCTTAGATTCAGTATTTTATATATAAGCCCTCTTAGTAAGTAATTTACTTTGAGATTAATGGTCAGTTTAATAACATGGCTTTAAAAAATTCCTGTTATTGAAATGTAGTAATAATAGTAATATAGTAATATTTTAATGCTTTATATTATTAAAAGTACTTTCACATCCATTGTTTCATTTTATCCTCATTCTTTCATTTCGTCCTCCTTCAGTTCATCCTTCCTTTGGAGTAGTTAGTGTATATAAATAGTAGCTTAACTATTAGTTTTCTAAATATGAGAGAGATCCTTATCCACTTAACAGTACTTGGGGTGAACTGAATTATATCAATATTCACATTTTGTTATAAATGAAGCCGGAAGACAAAAGAAAGTTGAAGTTATAACAGAATACTTTTGGAGTAAGTAAGAAGACCTGGATTGAAGTCCTACTTATAGTTGTGAGACCCCGGGAAAGTCTTTCACTTAACGTTTTCCAAGCCTCAGTCTCCTTCCTCAGAAGATGGAGTTAATAAACCTTTATTATCTATCTCACAAGACTTCATGAGGCTTACAAGAGATTTTGTATCAACTGAAAGCAAACGTTAAAAGCACTGTGTAAATGTCTGCTATTATTTAAATGGAAGGATATTTTTACAAGATCTTCTCAAAGACGAAATAAAGGAATAGATTTTATTATGTTTCCGAAGGCATCTGGAAATGTCATTCAATTCAACAGATATTTATTAAATGATTACTAAGTATGTTCAAGTTATTGTCCTAGTGCTGTGTATGCAAAGACAAAAATTAAATAGTCCTTATTGTCAAAGAGCTACTTATAAGCATTTTCAAAAAGACCACTGTGGAGATAAGTGGCAATTATGCCCCAACATCTGTTGCAGAGGATGAGGAAGTAAAGAAAATTCTAGGCATTTCTGTGCCAGGTTGCCCTCCATGCTTGGAATTTTTTTTCACCTCTTTCCCTGGAAACTCCCACTATTTTCTTTCCTTTTTTAAATTTTTTTTTATTTTAAACTTAAATACAAAATGAAAAAAGAAAAAGAATTGTCATGTGCCCAGCAGGCCATAAGAGGAATTCAATATAAAAAAAATTTCCATTTCAACAAAGCCTATATAATAAATACTACACATTATTTTCAAAGCTACTCAGCTTTTCTTTGCTTTCTTGTTTGGTTTTCTTTTGTTCTCTGCTGTACACGTTTTACTTTATTTTTTTCCCCTTCCCTCCCCCTACCACCTTAAAGAAGGCTACAATTAAATGTGGAGATATATGTATATGTATATATATATATATATACACACACATATGTAGATGTCTATAAACATACACATATATACACATAGACATTCATACACATATAAGTAACACTGTTTTTTCCTTTTTATGCCTCTTTTGTATAATTACTTCTTTTTATCTCTAGATTTACCCCATCATACTCAGCTCAGCCCATGCCTTTCTTTAAAACTACCCAAATAATGATGACAGTCATAAGAGTACTGCTGATATATGAAGTAAACAATTTGACCTTATTGAGGCCCTTATAATTGGTCTTTAATGTTTACCTTATATTTCTCCTGGATATCATATGTTGAATTTTCCTTTAAGTTCTGGGGTTTTTGTCATAAAAACCTGAAAGTCTTTGTGTTTGTTAAATGTCCATTTTTTTTTCATTCAGGATTTTACTAAACTTTGGGTAAGTTACCTTTGGTCATAACTTCAGCCCTTTTGCTTTATAGAATATAGTATTCTAAGACATATGGTCCTTCAACATAGTAGCTGCCAGATCTTGTGTAATATTTATTGTAGCTCCATGATATTTAAATTGTTTTTTTTCTTGTTGCTTCCAGTACTTTTTCCTTAACCTGGAACTCTGAAACTTGGATATGATATTCCTGTAAGTTTTCCTCCTGGGATCTCTTTCGGGTGGTAATTGGTGGTTTTTTTCTATTTCTGCTTTGCCTTCTTGTTCTTGAACTTGATAATTTCTTGTAATATTGTATCAAGATTCTTTTTTTTATCATAATGTTCAGGTAGTCTGGCTGTTCTTATATTATTTCACCTTGATCTGTTTTTCAGATCAGTTGTTTCTTGGATGAGATGTTTCACCTTCTCTTCTATTTTTTTCATTCTTTTGATTTTGTTTTATGATTTCTTGGTGTCTTAAAGTATCGTTAGCTTCTCCTTGCCCAATCTAGTTTTTAAGGAATTATTTTCTTCCTTAAGTTTTTGATTCTCTCTATTTCCAGTTGGTTGATTTGCTTTTCATAATTTTCTTGATTTTCTAGGATTGCTCTTATTTTTTTTCCTAATTTTTCCTCAGTCTCTCTTATTTGATTTTTAAAGTCCTTTTTAAATTCTTCCAAGAACTCTTTTGTACTTGGGACCATTTGATGTTTCTTATTGAGAAAAGAGTGGTTCTTTTAGCTCCATATGAACCCAGATCTTCTCTATCTCCATAGTAACTATCTATGGTTAGGTTCTTTCTCCTTTGCTTCTCAT